ATCAAATTAGAGAACTTCCCTTTGGTTTTCAGACCTATGTTTTGTTATGAATTTTGATCAGCATAAAATTCTCTATCATAATCAGTAGTGCAAATGGGGGGGGGGGGGGGGAATAGTATATAGATGCAAATTAGCGCCGTATTTATTTTATCTTTGCTCTTCAAAATATACATACATATTTATATACATTTAAATGCATTTTTGTTATAACCAATAAAAAAGCAAATTTTATGAAATTTTAAATATTTCGTTCTTCCAAGTTATAACCTAAATATCCTGCAGCAAAATTTATTCTTAAAATGTTCCAAAATCTTAACATAAAAACCTATCCAAAAAGTCCTTATTCAACGTCATAGCACATTCCTATCAAGAGTTTTGAATCAATGTCCGTGAAAACAGCTGCAGGTATATTCACATCTCTCTATTAAAAAAAGGGGAAGTTGAGTGTCCGTTAAAAAAAAAACACCAAACAGCCAGTTTTAAAACGGAGGAAAGTAAATTGTAATCTAAGGGATTGTCCATAAAGTACGTACCTTTTTATTTCAACATACCCCCCTTCCTCCGCATTATGCTATACGTATTTTCATGTACCCTCCACCTCCCGAAAAGGACCTACGTTTTTAACCTACCTACCTAATTTTCATAATAATTTTTTTAATTTAGTGTCTCCTTACTTTAATAATTGAACCTTGCCCCCTATCACATACACGCTAATTGCAGACCCCTCTTTCCCTATCCGAGCGTATGTACCCTTAAGACGATTCCTAATCCTTTTCCGTATATTAACTGTCTATTTTTTTCAGTTAAAATTCCTCCACTAGCCAGCTCCATTAACTAGTTTTCGTGGTCGCATCTAAACGTTGCTATGCCAACAGATGTTTAATTGGTAAATAACAGCCAGTAATTTTTTAAATAATGATAGCTGAGTAATTCTTTATTCAATTAAATAATGAACTTCTCTTTGAATTATTTGTATTGTAACATGTTTTAATTTAAATTAAAACACGATACAGTACGAGAAATTTAAAGAGTTTGTATCTACTTAACTTTTAATTTCATTTTTTTAAATTTTATGTTTATTCCTCTTCACTCTAATGGATTACAAATTTTCTGATAACTCTATTTTCTTCGGTTTTTGCAAATGGATCAAAATATTAAAACCGAGTAATTTTATTGTAGCATGTTTTAAGAAATTGCTATCTTCTTAATCGCACCGAAATGGAGGTTTTATTCTTCTAGGTAATACAAACCAGCTTTCATCCGTTTAGTCAAATTTCCTTGACAAAAAGCGTCAAAGATTTTATCTTTATTCTTTTTCCAGGTTGAAAGAGTGTTTGGTGGAATATCAAAAAATTTCGAAACCTCTTTATTTGTTTTTCCTTTCTTCAATTCCATTAGAATTTTTTATTTCAGCTATAGATTGTTTTCTTTGTCTCTTTGATGCCATGATTTTTTTTAAACAGTAAAAGATAATTTTAACTGATCTTTTTTTCAAAAACTCGCAACATTCGAAATTTGAAATAAGATTTTGACGGTTTAATGAGCTTTTTACACGTCAGAAGTTAAAAAAGTTCGATTTACAGAGAGAACCTTACTGTGGTATATGTGGAGGTTTTCGAATTTTAGAGATTCGAGTTATAGAAAGTTAAACGCAAGAGTTTCTTAAGCGCATTTCACGGTGACTCTGCATTTACAGTATCGTCCACAATTATTTTCGTCGCGTCCACAATTATTTTCGTCGCGTCCACAATTATTTTCGTCGCGTCCACAATTATTTTCGTCGCGTCCACAATTATTTTCGTTTGTCCATAATTATTTTTAAATCAAAACACTTTATTTTTTAAAATTTTTGAAATCAAGAAAAAAATCCAAGTATAATTTAATCAAATAAATTCATTACGTTGAATTCCTTTTAACATCCACTCACGCTTGTGAGAATAATAATTCTCAAAAGAATATTCGGTAAAACCTGATAAAATCTCAGTAATAATTCTAATCATTTCTTGTGAATTGTTAGGCCGCGGTTGTATTCCTTTAAATAAATTTTTAACCACGCCAAAAAACTCCTCGATAGGATTAAGTTGAGGACTGTAAGGTGGTAAAAACTGGATAGTACAATTACTTTCTCGAAATGCCGATTCTACTATTGATGAATGGTGGAATCGCGCATTATCCATTACTACAACATATCTGCGATCACTTAAAACTGGTCTTAAATCTTGTTCTATCCAGTCGTGCATGCTAGTGGTATTAAAGGCTCCAATCTTTAGTTTAAATCCAATACACCCTGTAACTGAAATAGCGCATATTAGGCTAACATTTCTTCCTCTCTTTGTGGGCACTGTAATAAACGGGGTGCTTCCTAATAATGCATATCCATAATGTCGTGAATCATGCAGATTGAACCCGGTTTCATCAATATAGACCAGATCTGAATTTCGCAGAAAATAAACATGATTGCAAAACATAAACCTCGTTGCTATTACTTGAGCTGAATTTCTTGCAACAACGATCGATTTAAGCCTTTTACGGATATATCCCATTTGTTTTAATTCTCTTTTGATTGTAGTTGTCGAGCATTTATGTTCTTCTGGCATTAGCTCTGCAATCTCAATAGTAGTTAATGCATTATTTGCATTAATTAATAACTCGATTTCTCTCTTTCTTTCAATATTATTTCGTGCAGCTCTGCCACGTTTTTTTGGTATTATATTTTGGTCTGCTTCAATCTTTCGTATCCAGTTTTGTATTGTTCTAATTGAAAGACCTGTTGCATTTGCAATAGATCGATTTGATTCGTTGCCAATCAACATTCTTTTTATTGTAGCAATATTTTCTTCCGTTGCTGTTTTGTTTTTTGTTTGTTCAGTCATTTCGATATTTGGATTATTGAGTTGTTGTTAGTCATTATGGCTTAAAGTGTTTTGATTTAAAAATAATTATGGACAAACGAAAATAATTGTGGACGCGACGAAAATAATTGTGGACGCGACGAAAATAATTGTGGACGCAACGAAAATAATTGTGGACGATACTGTAATTGAATTATGGAGGTTTTCGAAGTAGGAGATTCAAATTAGAGAGATTGTACTATATACACACATATATATACACATACAGGGCCGGCGCGAGTAGGTGTCACGTGGGGGGGGGTGCCATTACAACTTTTGCCGACTGTACACATATGTATATATATATATATATATATATATATATATATATATATATATATATATATATATATATATATATATATATATATATATGTATATATATATATATATGTATATATATATATATATGCAATATATATATATATATATATATATATAATATATATATATATATATATATATATATATATATATATATATATATATATATATATATATATATATATATATATATATATATATATATATATATATATATATATATATATATATATATGTATATATATATATATATATATATATGCATGTACATATGCAAAGAAGGTCCTGAGAAAAAGTTTTTTTTTTACTTTTTAGTGTTGCTTTTTTAAAAATTTCTTTAAATATATTATATATTGATTTACTTTTTTAGTCCATTTAAAATATGTTTTTTTTTTTAATTTTATTCTATTTTTTTTTAACATTATCTTTTATTTACACTAAACTAAAGTTTGTTTTGAGAATTTTTTTAACAATTTATTTTATTTACGCTAATGTAAAGTTTTTTTTTCGATTTTTTTGTTTAAATTACTTTTTTAAATAATTTCGATGAACGCTGAACTAATGTTTGTTTTGCGCGGATTATAAAATAATTAAACCGACAAGAAAGTAAGTTGATAAAAATGTTGTAATAAAAAGGTAATAAACGTTAATCAGAAATAACCTTAGTGATGAATTATAAAACTTACATTATGCAGAGTTTATGTTTATGTTTCAAGAATTGAAAACAAAGTTTTACAGCGTTTATTTGAATTTGAATATTTTTTTATTGAAAATGTTTAAAAAAATGTCTGGTTCTCAGAGAAAAAAATTTGCCAATAATCACTCAATATAATTAAAAACGTAGTTTCAGTAGGTTGAAGTTAATTAAAACCTAACTAACTACGTACATCAATGACGCAGAAAAATATTGACGTTGTTTAAATGTATATATACAAATTTATCTTTATGCTAGATTAGTAGGTGATTTAGGTAATAAAGTATCGGTGGCAGCACAAAGAGTTTACATACGCGACTATTACTAGAAAAAGGGGGCGCCACAACTAAATTTGCCCCTGCATAAAATATGTATATATATATATATATATATATATATATATATATATATATATATATATATATATATATATAAATTATGTTAGTGTATTCTACAAATAGAGTGCTCAATGTTCTTAAAGATCAGAGCAATAATAAAGTAGTAAAACCACTTATCTAATTTTTATTTTCTTCTACAGCTTGTTTGTCCATCAGTGGGATCATCAGGAAGCTCTTCCTGATGATCATTTTATCAAGCGTACTTGACATTTGAGTTGTAAGGATGTATTTTTTTGTGTTAGTTTTTAGAATTTTTATCAACATAGACATTTTTTAAAAAGTAGAAGAGTTAAACTTCATTTAAGTATTGTTTTTGTGTTTTTTTGTATTAACAACCGCTTTTATTAAATTAACTTTTCTTAAAAACTTCGTTATTGATCAGACATTAAATTGCTAATGAAGATATGTTGAGAACATTTTTAAATCTATTGAGAAAAGTTTATTTTAAAAAAATTATGTAGCAGACACCTAATTTGTTGTTGCAGAATGTGTACTTAAGTTAAAATATTGTAAAAAAGCTAAAAATTGCGCATACGAATCAACAAAGTTCCATTACAAAACTACCGTTAGCCGAATCTGGCATTTTAAAATTGGTCGCAGTTTTATTAAGTAATCCATGTAATCGAATTTTGTTACTTGAAAATAAGCTGACTTTAAATATGGCTGATAAATGGCATAATAGATAAAACTTACTTTGCAAAGCAGAATATTTAATTTTAAGAAGCAAAACTATCCACCAAAGTAACATTTCACGATTTTTCATAATTGAAAATGTAGCAGTGTATCGAATGTAACTTCTTTTTTCTTCCATGTAAAATCTAACTAATATTTTTTACAATTAAAAGATAATTTGCTCCAATATCTTTTTAAGCAAAATTATACTATTATTTGTTTACATTATTAGTTTAATCAAGTTTCAGAAAATAGGAGTTCCTTGAAGTAATTAAATCACGTCATTAAATTATTTCTTTTGTTGAAAGTTATAAAAGTGACTGTAAAATAAAAACCTGTTTTAATTCGCTTCATATACAATCCTTCTATTTTTAAAGAGCTTATAAAAACTCTACAAATTTATTTGAAATAAAGTATACGTCACATTTCGATGTGCGCTAAAGTTTTATGTAATTTTGTAGAAAAACTTCAATTCCCAAATATAACAAAGTTAAAGATTTTTTAAATAAAAGTTAATTGATAACGGAAACAATTATATTGATCAGTTATTTTATTGTCATATTAAGTACAATATATGAAGACCATAAAAAACATTGTTATTTGTACGGAAAATATTAAGTTTTTTAAAACGTTAATTTCATTAAAATTAGAATATTGCTATTGTATTGACATTATGGAACTTTATGAAAAAAGGAAAAAATAAAGCGAAAGCCATAAGCGTTTTGCTATCGGCTTTATAATGGCCACAACAAAACGGCGAACAGCAACTTTTTCTTAAACTTCATATTAAATGAATGGAGTATTACAAGCATAAATAGAATTATGATATACAACTTATGAAACTTTAAGCTTTAGTTATTTAAAAAACTTTTTTTTTGATTTTTTATAATTTGTTTCAGTTATCTTTTTAACTAAATGTCGTGTTATGATTCGAAGCAAGAAAAGAAACTTAAAATAAAGTGATTTTATTTAATTTCCGAGTTTTAGTATACATTTTGTTGAATAATTACAATAACTAATGGTTAATATGTAGCGTAACTTTGTATAACTTTTAATGTTTTAATAAAAATCATTTCAGTGATTTTTTTTTTGTTTTTTGTCGAGTAAAACTCGTTTTTTTTTGTTGTCGGTTTCAAGCATAATACCGAGACGATTGCTTTGAAGTTTGCGGCTTGGAGAACTTCCATTTATTTTATACTTACATGGTTAAAGTGAAAAAAATTTTAAAGTTTTGAAAATTGTAATTTGCCACCACGTCCGTGGTAGCACTCAACTTGCTTCTACGCGTAGCAACCTTGTTTTTCAAGGTTCGTGTTTCGGAGTTATAGAGTTGAAAAAGGGTTTTAATCACAATTAAAGTAGCCTCCTTGACTGTTGTGGCCTTTTTGGCCTTGGGGAGGTGGATTGAATTAAAAAGTTATAATAATAATGGTTGTAAGTGTTAATAAGCCTAAGTAAAGCTTGATTAAATTTAATCAAGGTTGTTTAAAACATAATAACACTTACAATTAATTACACTTGTCAACACTTCGATTTTTTTTTTCTTTACTTTAAATGATACATATTTGTCATCTAATTTGTACATTTACCAGTTGTTTTATTTTTGCATGTGACCCTTACCCAGCAAACAATAGACGTCTTTTAGACCGTCTAAAATTGGTCTAATTTGTATCTATTGCCGATACGTATATTTTAGACGTATATTAGAGATCAAAAAGACGTCTGGATCTAGAGATAATATTTTTGCTCTGTTTTAGATGCATATTAGATGCATAAAATAGATCGTGCATAGATAATTTTTTTTTCATCTAAACTTAGATGTCTATAAGATGTCTTATATAGATTTTTTATAAAAACAAAAAAAAAATATAACTAATTTTACGGAGCGACAATTATAAATGACCGCCTTAAAAACCATGCTTAAACTTATTACGAAAAAAGCATGAAGATTTTAACCTATGGAAAACATTAATGATTATTTCTTTTGATAAATTTTAAATAATAAAATAACATGCTATTATAGTTCACAAAATATTTCGATGATTTGATGCTTAGCATGTTTGCTAAAATCCTTGTGATTTGAAATTTATTTTGAAGAAATATTACAAAATTAATATTTTCAAGTTGATATTTTTATTTCTAGAATAAAAGATAATGTAATTAAAATATATGTATGTATGTATGTATATATATATATATATATATATATATATATATATATATATATATATATATATATATATATATGTATATATATATATATATATATATATATATATATATATATATATATATTTATATATATATATATATATATATATATATATATATATATATATATATATATATATATATATATATATATATATATATATATATATATATATATATATATATGACTCATATGAATCTTGGTTTCTTGATAAAAACGATAGGTGCACAACCAATAAAACAATCTTTTGTGTTATTGAAAAACACTCATAATATGAGTGTTTTTTAATAACACAAAAGATTGTTATATTGGTTGTGCACTTATTGTTTTTATCAAGAAACCAAGATTCATTTATGTCTTTTACAAAAAGGGCATACGAAAAGAGACGCAGTAGACGTGTCCAAAAAGAATATTAAAAAATACTAGAATTTTCATCAGTACATCAGTAGAAAAAAAATCGAATGTTGGAACTTCTAAAAGAAATGATTTCTTATCTTGCGAAAATCTAAAAGAATATTTTGACCATCATGAGTCAGTGATTTTGTACAATGAATACTATTATGACCAAAAGCCTAATGATTATAAGCATAACCCAACTTTAAAGGAAAGTTTTTCTGCATGTTTTTCTAACCAAGTAATTATGCACTAAACAAGTGGATTGACAAAGAATACCAACAAATTTATTGTCCCAAAAAAAAACTATAATCATGCAGTGAAAAACAACTTTTTGTCAACAAAAGAATGGCACAAATTTCCATTGATAAAGTGTAAGATAACAGATAGTCAGTATCTAACTTGTTGTGTATTTTTTTTAAAGGTAACTTAATTACTTTTTTGTAGCAAAATGTTTTACAATTAGATTCATTTTCATGTTGTGAAGAATACAACTTTCTACATCAGATGAGATATATGTTAAAGAAAGCATTAAAAATAAGAATAACAAATCATACTGCTCTTCATTGCCAGAACCTCCGCCACCTATTATGAACAAGCCCAATGCTAAAAGTATAACATAATTTTTTCTTCATGGTTTATAAACCATTAAGAAAAAATATCATAATTTTTTCTTAATGGTTTATAAACTGAAATAGATTCTTGTTTAATTTGATCTGAATAATATCTATCTAGCTATTAGTCTTTTTTATGTATTACTAAGATTTTCCTTTTATTTTAACTATTTAGGTGTCCTATTATATGTAATGTTGTTAAGTTGGTTACATATATTTATATCATTGACAACATTCTATTGTATTAAATAATCCTTTAATCCACTTGATATGAAAATTGAAAACTGATTGAAAGCATGCTGAAGTTGTTTGAATTCAGAAATTCAAGAATTCAAAGAAATTCAAAGAGTACAAAATTGGTTGAAAAATTAAATTAAGTAACAGGTATGGTTGAGGGATTAATTATAGTTCTAATTATAATTATTTCTTTTAAATAGAGTTGTTATCAGATTCAAAGATTGAAGAAGATAATTTTTCTTCACATTTTATTGATGAACACCAAGCAAAGTTCACATTGTCAAAGAGTTTTAAGTTTTAATGTGAGTAATTTTGGTTTTTACACCACTGAATGTTAATGTGGAGGTCTTTTTTATTAATTTGTTTTTGTATTAAAATAATTGTAAAAGATAGGTATAAAAGAATAGAAATGGATTATTTATAATATTGTGATCCGATAAATCATGTGTGTAGCATTTTATCTTTAGTAGTTTTTTTAGTAAGAATTTTAACTACTACTTTTAGTAGTAGTTAAAATTCTTTAATACCGTAGCCTTTTACAGGATAAAGTTTTAGCTGATTTAAAAAGTAGGTTTTCCAAAATATTATGGCAACTTCTGCGATGGAGTAATAAAAAAACTTACATGTGTTTTTGGAATTTTAGTTTAAGTTACTCAAGCATAATTTGAATTTTAAAGTTCTTATTTCATTGTTTTGCTATTTGGTTTTATGAGCTAAATATGTTAATCAATCTTTTTATTCTTGTTTGTAGAATTGCAAAATGTTATTCTCAAGGAGCTTGCAGAAATAAAAGTTCTTTTAAAAGAAGTTATAGAAATTAAGTTTCAGGCTACTGGGGTGAAGTTGCTAGAATCGGTGGACGAAGTGGTTACACTGGATAATAAACTAAAAGATAAAACCGAGTATACTAATTTGGTATAATCTAATTATTTTAGTTTTTAATAAGTTTGTTTAAATTTGGTTTATTAGTTTAGAATCTAAATAAAAAGTATTTGTAAATGAACTAAAATAACTAGCTTGTGTTAGACTCAATATGTTGTAAAAAAATTTAAGTTACACTAGTTTTTATTACATTTATTTCAGCTTGATAGTTGAAAAAAGATTGGTGGTGGAAAGCCAAGAGAACATGTTTATTTGATCATGTAAAGGTAAATGATTATGTTTTTATTAATTATTAGAAATATGATTAAAAGGGACCAAAAGCAATTCTTTTTGACCGTTATTTGTTATGGATTTACTTTTAACATGACAATTTGATAAACTCGGGAGCTTCGCTGTAGGTGTTTAAGTTTGTTTGTGTGCTAAAGTAAGTGTAATGCTAAACCTTGTTTAGCATTTTATTTTCAAATTTAATGCTTTTACCTTTCATAATTTAAAGCATTCATATATTAAAATCTATTTTAATTTATTACATATATTAAAATAAAAATCTTTATATATTTCAGTTTATTGTTAAAATATTTATCAGGTTATTTTTGAATCAGTTACAGTCCAAATTAAATCAAAAAGGAAATGGGGAAAAGATAAGCTTAGAAAATCTAGTAAATATATGGAGTGTTTTACGAGGTATAGTTTTATTAGTATTTACAAAACTGATATCTGTATTAAAAAGATATTCTTCAACTTTTTTGTGTCATGCTAGAATTTTTGTATCCATAATATAAGTTTCTTTAGTTTTTTCATAAAAAAATTGTTGTTTATTATTGTATCTGGTTGAGATACAAATCTTCTTGTTTATATATATATATATA